AGAAACTTCTCAACCGATTCTGGTGGTTCCACTACGGATGATTTGCAGGATATAGTCTCGCCAGAGACAGGGTGAGACGGACGAATATAAAGCCTCCGAACAGATTGGGTTTTGAAGACTTGGTATCTTTTGCACTTATTGTTAGCAGTGATGCTCCGGTTACTTTTCATGATGCCGTTACTAGTCAGGAAAACGACAAGTGGATGGCAGCCATGGTTGAGGAGATGGAGTCTTTGAATCACAATCGCACATGGGAGTTAGTTCCCCTTTTGAGGGTAAGAAGCCGATTGGTTGCAAATGGGTGTATAAAGAAACCAGTAGTAAAGAAAAAGAGGGGGGAAATTCAAGGCTCGTTTGGTAGCGAAGGGTTTTCACAGCAGAAAGGAGTGATTATGATGAAATCTTTTCTCCTGTGGTCAGGCACACTTCATCCGAGCAGTACTTGCATTGGTGGCTAGTGGGATTTGCATTTAGAGCAGATGGATGTTTAAAACTGCTTTTTTGCATGGTGATTTAAGGAGCAGATCTACATGCGGCAACCTGAAGGTTTCACTCAACCTGGAAACGAGCATGTAGTTTGCAGATTGAAGAAATCTTTGTACGGGTTGAAACAGTCTCGAGACAGTGGTATAAACGGTTGACTCCTATATGATCAAGATTGGCTACAACCGATGTGTATGATTGTTGGTCTATGTTAAGAGCCTTGATGATGGTTCTTTTATTTTTATTACTGTATGTTGATGATATGCTGATTGCTGCGAAGAACATGGATGATGTTATCGGTTTGAAAACTTTATTGAGTCAGGAATTTGATATGAAAGATTTAGGTGCTGCAAAGAAAATTCTTGGAATGGAAATTTGCAGGGACAGAGACTCAAGGAAACTGTGGCTATCTCAACGGGGTTATGTTGAGAAAATACTAGAAAGGTTTGCGATGAGCAGCGCGAAACCAGTTAGCACTCCATTGGCGAATCACTTTAAGCTCTCATCAGAACAGTGCCCAAGACAGATAAGGAAGTGAAGATATGGCAAAGGTTCCGTATTCTAATGCTGTTGGACTCAAGGAAACTGTGGCTATCTCAACGGGGTTATGTTGAGAAAAACTAGAAAGGTTTGCGATGAGCAGCGCGAAACCAGTTAGCACTCCATTGGCGAATCACTTTAAGCTCTCATCAGAACAGTGCCCCAAGACAGATAAGGAAGCTGAAGATATGGCAAAGGTTCCGTATTCTAATGCTGTTGGCTGCTTGATGTATGCGATGGTATGTACTCGTCCTGATTTAGCTCATGCTGTTAGTCAAGTTTGTAAGTACATGTCTAAACCTGGTAAGCAACATTGGGAAGCAGTCAAGTGGATCTTTCGGTACTTAAAGGGTACTGTGGGACATGGAATTGTTTTTGGGAGTCAGCGGGATAATCCTTTGGTTGTAGGATATGTGGATTCAGACTATGCAGGTGACTTGGATAATAGAAGATCTACGACAGGGTATGTCTTTACTTGGTGGAGGGCCTATTTGTTGGAAGTCTACTGTTCAATCTATTGTGGCTCTATCTACAACTGAAGCTGAGTACATGGCAGCGACTGAAGCTGCAAAAGAAGCTTTATGACTTACTGGTTTAGTGAAGGAGTTGGGTGTTCAACAAGGTGGAGTTCAGTTGCTTTGTGATAATCAAAGTGCTATTCACTTGGCTAAGAATCAGGTGTATCGTGCTAGAACTAAACATATTGATGTAAGGTTCCACAAGATCAGAGAGTTGGTTGCATCTGGAGAGGTTTTGTTTCAGAAGGTACATACTGATGAAAATGCCGCTGATATGTTCACTAAGCCAGTTACGACAGACAAGTTCAAGCATTGCTTGGACTTGTTGAATGTTTCGAGTTGTTAAAGAATCAAGGTAACCCAACCCACATTGAATTTTCCAAGAGGCAGGATATTCGCCAAGGTGGAGATTTGTTAGGTATGGCTCATAAATATACCAGTAAAGAGGACAGGAGATGGAGCGGAGTGAGCGAAGCGAACGCAGCGAACATCAACTGTCCTTACAAAGAAAGTCTCGTTGTGGGGTTACGAATTATGTGGGTTGGGGGTGCGGGGGCGCAGCCCCTGTGGTACGGTACATGGTTAATTTTGTAATTATGTACCAGGGTTTTCTATTATAAATAGAGATGTAACCTAGACCTAAAATATCATTGAATAAAAACTTCTAGCACCGCCTAGGCACCGAGGACGTAAGCACATTGCCGAACCTCGTAAAATTCTCGTGTTCTTTTGTTTTCTTTACCCGTTTTCGTCAACAGATGATGCAGGTGGTCCGGCCTCCCCATGGTTGTTGCATTGCTTGGACAATGGTAAGCCACACAATCCCAAGTTATCGCTGTAGGAATCATTATCAAAGGTACCAAATTGATTCCCACGAGGAATTTGTCCAACAAGATTTTTTTTGAAAGATTCAACACTGAAAGAAATGTCAGCTTCGTCATTTGAGAAGGTATCCTGCCACCAATCTTGTTTGATGAAAGATCTAATGATTCAAGTGCTGCCAGATTTCCGAACGATGTTGGGATATGACTGGTGGTGTTGTTGAGAGAGAAGTTGAGCATTTGCAGGGATATAAGTTGTCCGACTTCCTGCGGAATTTGTCCAAAGAACTGGTTGTTTGACAAGTCCTTAGATACAAAAATGGCTGCAGTCTTCAACAATTAAATCTCCAATCTTTTAGTTGTTACATTCACAGCGAGTCAGTAAAAGTCGGTCATATATCTACCATCTTCGTCTCGTTGAAATGATAAAATTGGATTACTCCCTTTAGATTTCTCTGTCATTGCTCTCAAATTCCGAAAGAGTTTCGTTGGCAAGGGGCCAATGAACTCATTACCGGAGAGATCAATCATTCGCAATGAAGAGAAGTTACTTGAACCAATGGAATGAGGCAGTGATCCATGAAATCTATTATGTCTCAAGATAAGAACTTGCAGACTTGGAAGTGAAGCTAACCAATGAGGAAACCTATCAGTTAACTTGTTGTTCCCTACATTAAAAATTATCAATTTAGTACAATTAGCCAAAGATGGTGATACTAATCCTTCGAAGAGATTGTCATTGAGGAAAAGATGGCTCAACTCGTTATTCCAAAAAGAGTCGGGGATCTCGCCATTCAAGTTGTTCATCTGCAAATCTATCAACTGGAGATTAGAGCCGAAATTTCCAAGACATTCAGGAATAGTTCCACTCAAGTTGTTTCTAGACATGTCCAGTAGTATAAGTGAACTCCAACTGCAAATGGAAGAAGGAATATTTCCAGTCAATTTACTTCGAAATTAAGAACACCTTCAACCGCAGTGGATCTGGGACTTGAAGATTCAGAATTGACCCTTGAAGCAAGTTCGAACGAAGGTCAAGAGTATCCAATCTCTTCCCTAGAACATCCTCCAATGTGGTCAGAAAGTTATAAGAAAGGTCCAAGGGTGGGAAGGATTGCAAGGGTTGAACCTGAAATTCGGGAACTGACTCACACTACAAGAAGAGAACGACGTGAATATAAGCTGAGGGAAGGAATAGTTCGCATCATCATCGCTTGCGCTTAATGATACTAAACTATTATCCGAAAGATCAAGAACTTCAAGACTTGTGAGTTTCGAAAGCATATCTGGCTTGATGACACCACTCAAGTTGTTTGATGACAAACGAAGTTCAATAAGGTTCACAAGATAAAAAATAGAATCGAGTATTGGACCTTGAAAGTCATTAGAAATTAAATCAAGGTGTTGGATAGAACTCAACACCTGAATTCGGTCCATCGGTCCGGCTGGTTTGTTATAACTGAGGTCTAAATCTAGCAGAGACGGCAGAGTAAACAGCCAACCACTAACATGATTTGTAAGGGAGCTTCCAAGTGATTATATGACAAATCCAGAGTGATAATTTTGGTGAGGTTGAACATAGTAATTGGAAGTGGACTACTCGGGTTGCATGAAGAACATCTCAAAAAAGCTAATTTGGTAAGACTCCCAAAAACATGGAATCTGTCCTTCAAACAAATTTCTACAGAAACGATTCGAGTGAGATTTCCAAATGATGTTGGAATTGACTGTTGTGGAATTCGGGTTAATTTCCACCAATAATAACAAATTCACCTTGAAAACTATTATCTAGGTGACTAGTGTGAAAACAATTATACTAAAAATCACACCAAGGTAGATTCCCAGGAAAGGAGGGGTCATAATAGCCCTCTTAAAACTATACCCGACAATAGCTATTAAATAGACATAAAGAGAACACCAAAATTTAACGAGGTTAGGCCAAAATTATGCCTACCTCCTCGAACACTACTAAAATAATATTTCACTAATAGAGGAAATATTATAAAGAGAAAGAAAGAATACAAATAGACTTTACTATAGAAGAAAGCTTATATTTGTGTGATGCTAAACTAAGGAGGAGGAGGGCTCTTTATAACAAAGATTTCCTCTCCTCCTTTAAAAACCAATGTGGGATATTTGCCAAAAACCAATAAATCTCCACCTTGGCAAATTCCACACACGTCTCTCAAAAATCCAATCTTCAGTAGTGTATGCAAATTCATCTTTCAATTTATAACAATATTGACCAAGTCTAAATAATGTTTAAACTTGACCGCAGTTACCATTTTTGTCAACCTATCAGCATGATTCTCAGTGGTCCGAATCTTCTGGATTATGACTCCACCTTCTTCTAGAATCTCTCGTACAAAGTGATATCGAACATCGATGTGCTTCGTCCTTGCATGGTAAACTTGGTTCTTTACTAAATGAATAACACTCTGACTGTCACAATGCACTTTGATGTGCTTTTGTTCCATTCCCAATTCACCAAGCAACCCTTGAAGCAAATTGCCTCCTTCACAACCTCTGTAACTGCCATATACTCTGCCTCTGTAGTAGACAAAGCCACTGTTAACTGTAAGGTGGACTTCCAACTGACTGATGCCTTTGCAAATGTAAACACATAACCAATAATTGATCAACACTTGTCTAAATCACCTGCATAGTCTGAATCACAATACCCAACTACATACTGACTATCTTGTTTGTCCTGCTGAAAGACCAAACCAACATCTACGGTGTTCAGAATATACCGCAGAATCCATTTCACAGCTTGTCAATGCTCCTTTCCAGGATCATGCATATACCTATTTCACAACCCCAACTGCATGTGAAATATCGGGTCTCGTACACACCATTGCATACATCAAGCTACCAACAACACTTGCATATGAAACCTTTACATGTATTCCCGTTCTGCATCATCCTTAGGTGACATGGATGCACCGAGCTTGAAATGAGGAGCAAGAGGTGTACTAACTGGTTTTGACTTCTCATTCATGCCAAAACATTTTAGTACCTTCCTCAGATATTCTTTCTAAGACAAACAAAGCCTCCCCAATTTCTTATCCCTTGATATCTCCATACCTAGAATCTTCTTTGCTTCACCAAGATCCTTCATCTCAAACTCCTTGTTCAATTGAGTCTTTAGTTTCGCAATTTCTGTCTGACTCTTGGAAGCTATCAGCATATCATCAACATAAAGAAGAAGATATATATATGATCCGTCTTGTAGCTTGCGTAAATACACACAATGATCATATTTGCTTCTTGTATACTTCTGCCCTATCATAAACTTGTCAAATCGCTTGTACCATTGCCTTGGAGATTGCTTCAATCCGTACAATAATTTTTCTAATTTGTACACCATCTCTTTTTTTTTCAGCAACTTTGAATCCATCTGGCTGAGTCATGTAGATTTCCTCATCCAAGTCTCCATGTAAAAATGCAGTTTTTACATCCATCTGAACTAGTTCCAAATCCAACTGTGCTACCAAAGCCAACAAAATTCTGATGGAGGAATGTTTTACAACTGGAGAAAATACTTAATTATAATCAACTCCCTCCGTTTGAGCGTAGCCTTTAGCCACCAATCTTGCTTTGTAGCGGATGTTATTATTGTCAGGAAATCCATCTTTCTTTGCATATACCCACTTGCACCCAATTGCCTTCTTTCCCTTCGGAAGACTAGCTAGTTTCTACGTCTGATTCTTTTGAAGGGATTGCATTTCTTCATTCATGGCGATCCTCCACTTTTTATGTTCTAAACTTTGGACTGCTTCATTAAAAGTGGCAGGAACGTCATCAAATTGCAATTGGTGATGCAAAAGAGACCATATCAGCATAACGAGCAGGTTGTCTAATGGTCCTCTTTCCCTTTCTGAGTGCAATTGATTCATGTTGCTGTGGAGGTTCTTGGGTCTGAACCTCTTCTTCATCTGACTCTTCTTCTACCATAGGAGAGTCAACATCAGTTTGTTTACTGACTGGGTCAATTCTGCTTCTTTCAAGCTCCACCTATTTGGGAATTCCATCTGTCTACTCCAATTTTTCTGAAGTCACCTTTCTCAACATGGTAGATTCATCAAAGGTAACATCCCTACTGAAGATTATTTTCTTTGTTTCTGGACACCAAAGACGATAGCCTTTCACACCAGAGGTGATCCCCATAAAGATCGTCTTCTTTGCTCTTGGATCCAGCTTTGACTCTTTAACATGGTAGTATGCAGTGGAACCAAACACATGTAAGGAATCATAATCTGTAGCAGGTACTCCAAACTATTTCTCTAATGGTGTTTTACCACCAATAACAGTCGATGGTAAACGGTTGACAAGGTGACAAGCATACACCAAAGCCTCAGCCCAAAATTCTTTGCCTGACCCAGCATTAGACAACATACACCGAACCTTCTCCAATAATGTTCGGTTCATACGCTTTGCCACCTCATTCTGTTGTGGTGTACTTCTGATAGTGAAGTGCCTGACAATACCTTCTTCTTCATAGACTTTCAGAAATGGATTATTTTTGTACTCTCCACTATTGTCTGTACGGAGACGTTTGATTTTTCTGCCTGTTTGAGTCTCCACCATCTTTTTCCATTTAAGGAAAAATCCTAGCACCTCATCCTTTGTCTTCATTGTATACACCCAAACTCTCCGGGAAAAATCATCAACAAAGGTGACATAATAGTGTGTTCCTCCCAATTAAGTTATCTTGGAAGGCCCCCATACATCTGAATGAACATAATCTAAAATACCTTTAGTATCATGGATTGCTGTTCCAAATTTCACCCTCGTCTTCTTCCCTTTGATGCAATGCTTTCAAAAAGCTAATTTGCAAGCCCGAGTACCCTTCAATAATCCTTGATCTATCAGCAATTTCAAGGATTTTTTACCAACATGCCCCAAGCGCATATGACATAACCTGGTTGCTTCTGACTCATGTTCATCAGTAGAAGCTGTCACTGCTGTTGTCCCAACAATTGTACTACCAGAAAGTAATACACATTGTTTCTTTTCCGGATTCCCTTCATTATTACCAATGCACCAGAGATAATCCTCATAATCCCATCTTTTGCCCTCACTTCTAAACCTTTTGACTCTAAGGTTCCCACAGAGATGAGATTTCTCGTTAAATCTGGTACATAATGGACACCTGTTAAGATTCTGATTGATCCATCCTGATTCCTCAAGCAAATTGAACCAATCCCAAGTGTGTCAAGAGGGGAATTATTTGTTATGTAGACAATTCCACCTTTTAGTTCTTTAAAATCAAAGAACCATTCTCTATTGGGGGTCATATGGTGGATACAAGCTGAATCTAACAGCCATGAACTGGAACAGCTGGCTGATGGCGTAGCAGCGAATGCGAAATCTAAATCTGCATCATCATACTCGACCACATTTGATTCTGAGACAGCCTTTCCCCTTTCAGGTTTGCCTTTGTTCTTTAGCTTGGGACATTCTTTCTTCCAGTGCCCCTTTTCTCGACAAAAGGCACATTCATCTTTGCTCAATCTGGACTTTGACTTCGATCTCCCTCTCCTTCCTTTATTCCGACTCTTCGAACGACCTCTAACTACAAGAGCTTCTGCTTCGACACTTGTGTTTTCTTGTTTGTCTTTCTTTCTCAATTCATAACTATACAAGGCAGCAGTTACTTCACTGAGAGACACATCAACTTTCCCATGAAGTAGAGTAGTTTCAAGTACTCAAACTCATCAGGAAGTGAACCCATCAACATCAGAGCCATATATTCGTCTTCAAAAGTCACGTCCATATTCATCAGATCAGTCACCAGCTGATTAAAGCTAGTAATGTGATCATTCATAACGATACTTGGTACATAGTTGAAGCGGAACAATCTCTTTTTCATGTAGAGCTTGTTCTGACTGCTTTTCTTCAAAAATTTCTCCTCCAGTGCCTTCAATTTACTTGCAGAAGTTTCCTTAGAAAATGCATACTTCTGCTCTCTAGAAAGACACGATCAAATAGTACCACGTGCCAATCTATTGATCATCTTCCATTCTTTCTCCTCAACATCATCTGGTTTCTCTCATTCAATAGCAATGTCTAGACCCTGCTGAAATAGGACATCTAGAACCTCACTTTGTCACATGCTGAAATGACCGGTGCCATAAAAAATCTTCACTGCAAATCTAACATTTGCACAGCTGTTGACGACAATGTGGATGTTTTTTTTGCGTCTGTCATTTCTGCTACAAATTCTATTTAATAGCTGTCAATGCGGAATGCCAATTATCCCAAGGAAATTTTTTCTGATGTGGAAGATCAGCCTAAGCCGCAACCACAAAGCATACTAAAATAAACCAAGAGCGTTGATACCAATTGTTGTGGAATTCGGGTTAATTTCCACCAATAATAACAAATTCACCTTGAAAACTATTATCTAGGTGACTAGTGTGAAAACGATTGTACTAAAAATCACACCAAGGTAGATTCCCAGGAAAGAGGAGGGGTCACAATGGTCTCTCTTAAAACCCACTTTCCTTAGACAGAACTACCAAAACAAATAATTTTAATAGGACAATAATTAATAACAACTATACCCGACAATAGCTATTAAATAGACATAAAAAGAACACCAAAATTTAACGAGGTTAAGCCAAAATTATACCTACCTCTTCGAACACTACTAAAATAATATTTCACTAATAGAGGAAATATTACAAAGAGAAAGAAAGAATACAAATAACCTTTAATATAGAAGAAGGCTTATATTTGTGGGATGCTAAACTAAGGAGGAGGAAGGCTCTATTTATAACAAAAGAATTTCCCCTCCTCATACAAAACCAATGTGGGATATTTGCCAAAAACCAACATTGACCCTCTAATACCACCACAATAAGGAAGGAACAGCGACTCAAGGGCAGTGCTCCAGTTTGTCTTAGGAAGATAACCAGTGAGATCTTCATTCCAACTTAAATCTATATGTTTGAGGTTGGGAAACTGAAAAGGTTGAGTTGGGAATTCCCCATGTAATTGAAAATGAAAGAGACTCAAATGTTGTAGTGATGAAGTTAAGTTTAGACAGGAAATGACTGCAACATCAGACATATCTACACCGTCAAGCACAAGGTATTTTAATTTGGTTACGTTTCTTGCAAGCATGTCAAAACCTTGGCCATTAAGTGTCAACGTGGTAAGATATTCAGAGAAAAAGCTAAGATCAAGTGAAACCAAACTTGACAAGAGACTGATTTGATTTGGCCAGAGAAGCCCGAAAAGGAGAGATTAAGATGGGTTAAACTCACCGATTGAACAGCTCTGATGATACGGTGCCATAGAAATTGTTGTAGGCAAGATTGAGTCGTCGGAGGCCTTGAATGTGAAACAGGCTGCTGGTGTTCTCAAGAGGAGAGCCATCGAGGTAGTTGGAGCTCAGGTCAAGATATTGAAGGTTTCGAAGGTGAAAGAGGCTGTTGTTTGCAAAGAGAGAACCTGTAAGGCAACTGTGACCAAGATCGATGCCAATTACATGACCAGTCAGCTCGTCACAGTTGATTCCCTCCCAAGAACAACAATCGATGTTTTTGTTCCATGACACTGTCTTGGGGTAATCATCACCACGGTAATCATCATGAGAAATGGTGTTTTTTAAATTGAATAAGAATAGCCCTCTGGCGTGGGAGCCATAAATGAGAGGATGGAGGAGGAACAGTGGAAGAGAAACTGCATGAAAGATGCAACATGAACACCAATACCAGGTAAAGGATTCCCATATTTCTCAAGAAACAAACAAATGTAAGAACCAAAGGAACGTTAAGGTGAGAATACAGAGTTAAATTTCCTATATGCTTATAACCCACTTCAAGTCAACCAATTCATGGAATCAAACAACAAAAAGAAAGTCAACCAATCGATACAGCTATTAGTCTATCTGTAGTTGAGTTGGAATTCCTCATGGTATCGAAATATAATTTATTAGCACCAACTCGCATGCAGTGCACATGACTGCATAAAACACAATTTTGATCAACAAGACTGTTTTCCCAACGCATTTCTTTTGAGGGTTAAAGCACAGAAAAGCCGATGCATTTACTGTTGATTTGTTCTATATGTAATATGATGCAGGCAAAGCATCTTCCTACGGAATCTGTAATATGAGGTCCTCAAAAGATGCGCCTGTAGACACTATGGTATGTGACTTGTGAGAAAGCTGGAAGCGTTCTTCCACCCAAGGTACAATCTTTTTTATCTTTATAGGTGGATATTTCGTTGGTGATTTGGATCGGATACTACAAATACCTACTATGATTACAAGGGCAACCTTCACAACCCAGTTTATTCCATTCACAATCTCAATATCAGATCCATGGACCATGATAAAAGATCTAACGTATCATCTCACTAGATCAACCAGTAGTTGGTTTGTGAGAACATTAATGGTACAACAACTAATGTTGAGCTCAAGGTAAAGATATCAAGTTGACGCAACAGGACCGGACAATGGAACGAACAGACAAAAGAATGATATATACTAAAGCTTCAACCTACATAATAGGTGCTATATTTCTGTCTAATTTTTCCTGTCTAAATTTTGTTTACATATTTGATTGGCCGTTGTGAATAAAGCTTGCGTGCAATGCAAGAATGGAAATAGAATTTGGCATTGAAATTTAGACTACATTAAGTTGAAAGTTACAAGAACAGTCTAGGTTTATACAGTACTTAAAACATTTTCAGAATTACAAGAGACCCACAAATACAAACTTAGAAATAATGAAGATAAAGGCACTCGTATTATGTACTCAAATCTGAACAAGTAAAGCTAGCCATCTGCTAAATTGAGAGCACCACAATGATTTATTCAAATCGGTTCCAAGTAAACTGAACAAGCTGAACCTTCCCATCGAATTCCATTTGAAGTTCCAATGCCTCTATGAGAAATTAAGAAAACAAAAGAATATTATAACTTAACTATTATATTACGAAGATGAAACTTTTGAAATACTTGTTAGAAACTTACCTAAGTAAGATGCTAGACCTTGAGCTAGTTTCTTTTTGGTCTCTTTCTTCTAATCCAGTTTGTGAATCTGTATTGAAGATCTCTCTCGACCGCCCGAACAAACCACCATGGTCTTCCGGTTGTGAACACAATGTAACCAAGGCTCAGCCCTAGCACCACCCCACTTCCATATCCCATCATTACCACCTGCCAAAAGGGTACTTGAGAATCCTCATGTTCCGCCACCGATGGTGCAAGTGGGTCGGCCTCCCCATGGTTGTTGCATTGCTTGGACAATGGTAAGCCACACAATCCCAAGTTGCCGATGTAGGAATCATTACCAAATGTGTCAAATTGATTCCCATGTGGAATTGGTCCAACAAGATCATTTTCTGAAAGATTCAACACTGAAAGAAATGTCAACTTTGTCATTTGAGAAGGTATCCTGCCACCAAGCTTGTTTGATGAAAGATCTAATGACTCGAGCGCCACCAAATTTCCGAACGATGAAGGAATAGGACTGGTGAAGTTGTTGTGAGAGAAGTTGAGCATTTGCAGGGATATAAGTTGTCCGACTTCCTCAGGAATTTGTCCAAAGAACTGGTTGTTTGACAAGTCCATAGAGACGAAAATGGCTGCAGTCTTTATCAATTCAATCTCCAATTTTTTAGTTGTTACATTCACAGAAGTTTGGTAATACTCGGTGATATATTTACCATCCTCATATTTGTAAAATGATAAATCTGAATGATTCCCTTTAGGTTTCTCTCTCATTGCTCTCAAATTCCGAAAGAGTTCCGTTGGCAAGGTGCTGGTGAACTCATTTCCGGATAGATCAATCATTCGCAATGAAGAGAAGTTACTTGAACCAATGGAATGAGGCAGTGATCCATGAAATCTATTATGTCTCAAGATAAGAACTTGCAGACTTGGAAGTGAAGCTAACCAATGAGGAAACCTATCCGTTAACTTGTTGTTCCCTAAGTTTAAGACTTCCAATTTACTAGAATTAGTCAAAGATGGCGGTACTATTCCTTCCAATCGATTGTCATTGAGGAAAAGATGAGTCAACTCGCTATTCTGAAAAGAGTCGGGGATCCTGCCATTCAAGTCGTTCATCTGCAAATCTATCAACCGGAGATTATAGCTGAAATTTCCAAGACATTCAGGGATAGTTCCACTGAAACTGTTTTCGGACAGGTCCAGAATTAGAAGTACAGTCAAATTGCAAATAGAAGAAGGGATACTTCCTGTCAATCTATTCTCTGAAATTAACAACGCACGCAACTGATGTAGATCTGGAATTTGAAGATTCATGCAAGTTGATAGAATTGACCCTTCAAGCAAGTTGGAACGAAGATCGAGAAGTTCCAACTCTTTTCCTGGAAATTGCTCCAAAGTGGTCAGAGAGTTATGAGAAAGGTTCAGCACTTTCAGTGCTTCCCACCCTTGAGCCTCCCATTTGGAAATTCCACCAGAAATCGTGTTATTGGAAAGATCCAAAACCTCTAAATTCGAGGTTCGAAAGAAACCGGGGAACTGACTTACCCTACAAGAAGAGAACAACACAGTTGCAAGACGAGGGAAGGAATGGTTCACATCATCGTCTCTTGTGCTTAAGGATAGTAAACTATTATTGGAAAGATCAAGAAATTGAAGACTAGTGAGTTTCGAAAGCATATCCGACTCGATGACACCACTCGAGTTGTTTGATGACAAACGAAGTGAAGTAAGGTTGACAAGATCAAAAATAGAATAGGGTAGTGGACCATGAAAGTCATTAGAACTTAAATCAATAAGTTGGAGAGAAGAAGGCATCTGAATTCGATCAATGGGACCGGCTAGTTTGTTATGACTGAGGTCTAAATCTAGCAGAGATGGGAGAGTAAACAGCCAATCACTGTCATGATTTGGGAAGGGAGCTTCCAAGCGATTATGTGACAAATCCAGAGTGATAATTTTTGGGAGGTTGAACATGGTTAATGGAAGTGGACCACTCAAATTGCAGCGAGAAATTCTCAAGGAAGTTAATTTGGTAAGGTTCCCAAAAACATCTGGAATCTGTCCTTCAAACAAATTTCCAGATAAATATATGGAAGCGATTCGATTGAGATTTCCGAATGATGATGGAATTAACCCTCTAAAACCACCACAATAGGAAAGGTCCAACGACTCAAGGCCACTACTCCAGTTTGTCTTTGGGAGATAACCTCTGAGATTTTGATTCCCACCTAAACCTATAAGTTTGAGGTTTGGAAACTGAAAAACTTGAGATGGGAATTCCCCACGTAATTCACATATAGTGAGGCTCAAACGTTGTAGTGATGAAGTTAAGTTTAGAAAGGAAGTGACTGCAACATCAGACATATCTACACGGTCAAGCACAAGGTATCTTAATTTGGTTAAATTTGTTGCAAGCATGTCAAAACCTCGGCCATCAAATGTAAAGTTGGGAAAAGAAAAAGAGGAAAGATCAAGTGAAACCAAACTCGACAAGAGACTGATTTGATTCGGGATTTGGCCAGAGAAGCCAGAAAAAGAGAGATTAAGATGAGTTAAACGGACCAATTGAGTAAATAACTCTGAAGGGATAGCGCCATCGAAATTGTTGAAAGCGAGGTTGAGACGTTGGAGTCCATGCAAGTGAAACAGGCTGCTAAGAGAGCCATCGATGCGGTTGGAGCTCAGGTCAAGCCATTGAAGTCTGTCAAGGCGAAAGACGCTATTGTTTGAATCTGCAAAGAGAGAACCGGTTAGGCAACTGTGACTAAGATCGATGCCGATTACATGTCCGGTCAGCTCGTCGCATTTGACTCCCTCCCATGAACAACAATCGATGCTTTTGTTCCATGACTCTGTCTTAGGGTAATCATTATAGTAATCATCTCCACAGTAATCATTAAGAAAAATAGAGTTTTTAAATTGGATCAAAGCAGCTCTCTGGCGTGGGAGACATAAATGAGACGATGGAGGAGGAACAGTGGAAGAGGAACTCCATGAAAGATGCAACATGAACAACAGTACCAGGCAAAGGATTCCCATTTTTTTCCCTCAAGAAACAAACAAATGTAAGAACCAAAGGAACGTTAAGGTGAGAGTACAGATTTAAGTTTCCAATATGCTTGCTTATATAACCCGCTTCATTCAACCAATTCATGGAACCCAAAAAAAAAGTCAACCAAATGTCTATCTGTAGGTGAGTTGGAATAATTTCTCAAAAAGAAATAAAGTCAACACTTTATACCATGTTATTTTATTCCTCAATGTAGAAGACTTTTGGCATATGAACAGTAAGAATATCATGAGTTGGATCTTGAAGAAACTATTTAAGATAAAGAACGAAGTTTTTTTTCTTTTTTCTTTTTTTGTTTATGAAAGAGATTTGATCTTAGATTAGAATCAAAAGGGCTAAAGTTGCCTGGTACAAACTGCTTTTGTTCCCCATCCATGTGCCAAAGCATGTTTTTGTTTGGATGAAAATTAAAGATGGATTATCAATTCAATTCGATTTTATAGGGTTGGGTTTTTAAAAAAATCGGATTCAGTTCGAGACTTTCTATTGTGTCTCAAGATAACGTACATACATAGCTATTAATAACGTGCATATATCCTGTATAACGACCGTTCGAATCCAGAACCTTAAGGAAGATAACAACTTATTTGTATCAACTTGCAGTCAGTGCACATGACTGTATGAAACACAATCTTGATGAACAAGACCTTTTTCCTAGTGCATTTCTCTTTAGGGTTGTCATCACCCAAATTTGTCCGAACTTGAGCTTAGGTATTAACTTCAACTAATATTTATCTTGATTTAGTTATTAATCCATTAAATTATGAAATTCTAAGCACAATGGTTAGTTCACTTTGAAATTGAAATCAGCAAGATAAATAATAGCTAGATTTTGACATTGGAATTTGGACAAGAAGAAATTACGAAAAGACAAAAGGGTACGTGAGCCCTTCGTACTTAAAAAAATAATAATATGGCTCTCGTAATTTTTTTACATCCAATGTGGTCTTTAAACTTAGAAAATCAAATTCAATGTGGTATTTTGACCAATATTTTCCGTCGTTGATTGTTATGGTGTTGATGTGACATTTTACGGTGCTAACGTGATACTTTATGATACTGATATGGTAGTTTACAGTAGATGATGATGTGACAAATGGGCTAACTTGATTTTTTTTTGTTGAGTTCGAAGGTTAAATTGGGTTTTCTAAAGTTCAAGGTTTATTGATTTTTTAGAAAACTTTTATTTTAAATTTAAACTATGGAAAAAATAAATATAAAAACACTAAAAATAAAAATTAAATTACTAAAATAATTTTAAAAAATTAAAAAAAATAAATTACTATAGAAATATGAAGAATAAAAATGAGTAACTTGACCACTCAACCAAATATACTTGCTCGGGAATATTTCTTTTTAAATTATGATACTTAAATTATTTTTAAATCCCAATCTTTAAATTAAAAATGATAAATTTAAATACATATAAATACTTATTTTTCAATTATAATAATAATGTCAACTAAATTAATATCCAAATAATAATTAAATAAAATGACTCGAAGAAATAAATTGATATTAACATTATGTTTTTTATTGTTTCGAGCCGATTTATACAAATTCTTCCATTTTTTTTATCACAAACTTTAAACATTTTATACCGTTTGTACCTTCTGCTTTAGCATATCATCCATAACTCAAATTATCCAACTTTTCAAATGAATCAAATTTCGTGACAAGTTTGAAAATTACACAACCATCGTTTTTCAATCATTCTAATTAATATTTATATTTTTAATGTTTTTAATATCTAACTTTTATTTTTAGTATCTTTATATTTAATTTTTTTTATTTATTTGTATAGTTTAAATTTAAAATTTAAAATATTTTTTTTTGAAAAATCAAATAAGCTCTTGAACTTTAAAAAACACAATCTGACCCTTAAACTCTACTAAAATAATTAATTTAATTCATTTGTCATGTCACCAGACACTATAGACTGTCACGTCAGTATCAAAATGGTCAACGGTAAAAATCATTGGTCAAAGTACTACATTAGATTCGCTTTCTAAGTTTGAGAGTCACATTAGGTGCAAAAATAAATACGAGGACCACATTAGTTTTTTTAAAGTACAAAAGCCTCACATACTCCTTTGCCTTACAAAAACAAAATACGTATTACAAGCTAATACTTATAAAAAACTCACCGATGTTGGACCCATAGCTAGTTTCTTTTTGGTTTGTTTCTTCTGATCCAATTTGTGAATCTGTATTGCAAATCTCTCTCGACCATTCGAACAAACCACCATGGTCTTCCGGTCGTGAATATAATGTAACCAAGGCTCAGCCCTAGCACCACTCCGCTTCCATACCCCATCATTACCACCTGCCAAAAGGGTACTTGAGCATCCTCATCTTCCGCCACCAATGGTGCAGGTGGCTCGGCCTCCCCATGATTGTTGCATTGCTTGGACAATGGTAAACCACACAATTCCAAGTTACCGATGTAGGAATCATTACCTAAGGTATCAAATTGATTCCCATGGGGAATTGGTCCAACAAGATCGTTTTCTGAAAGATTCAACACCGCAAGAAATGTCAACTTCTTCATTTGAGAAGGAATCCTCCCACCAAGCTTGTTGGATGAAAGATCTAATGATTCAAGTGCCGACATATTTCCGAACGACGCTGGGATAGAACCGGTGAAGTTGTTATGAGAGAAGTTGAGCATTTTCAGGGAAATAAGTTGTCCGACTTCCTCGGGAATTTGTCCAGAGAATTTGTTGTTGGACAAGTCCATGGACACAAAAATGTTTATGACCTTCGTAAATTCAAGCTACCGTCTTTTCGTTGTTACTTTCACAGAAGTGTGGTAATCCTGAATATCAACAGCATAAACTTCAATACCAGCATATAAGATGTTTGAAAGTCTGTGTTCAGGTTTATCTATCATTGCTCTCAGATTTCCAAAGAGTTTCAAGGGCAAGATGCCGGTGAACTCATTTCCAGAGAGATCAACCATTCGTAATGCGGAGAAGTTAGTCGAAGCTGCAGAATGAGGCAGTGATCCATGAAATCTATTATGTCTCAGGATAAGAATTTGCAGACTTGGGAGTGAAGCTAACCAATGGGGAAACGTATCAGTTAACTTCTTGTTTCCTAAATCTAAAATCTCCAATGAAGTAGAATTAGACAAAGATGGTGGTACTACTCCTTCCAATCGATTGTCATTGAGGAGAAGATAGGTCAATACAGTACTCACAAAAGAATCAGGGATCTTGCCAGACAAGTTGTTCATCTGCAAATTCATTAACTCGATAGAAATGAAGCTTCCGAGACATTCAGGAATGGTTCCATTCAAGCTATTTCTAGACAAGTCCAGAATAAAAAGTGAAGTCCAACTGCAAATGGAAGAAGGAATGTTTCCTGCCAATTTATTCTTTGAAATTAATAACACACGAAACCACAGTGGATCTGGTATTTGAAGATCCAACCAAGTTGAGAGAATTGGCCCTTCAAGCAAGTTGGAACGAAGGTCGAGAGATGCCAATCTCTTTCCTGGAACTTGCTCCAGTGTGGTCAGAGAGTTATGGGAAATGTTCAACACTTGCAATTCTTCCCACCCTTGAGCTTCCCATTTGGAAATTCCACCAGAAATCATGTTATAGGAAAGATCTAAAGACTTCAACTTCGAGGTTCGAAAGAAATTCGGGAACTGTCTTAGGCCACAAGAAGAGAATGACACTATTTCGAGCCGAGGGAAGGAACAGTTCACATCATTGCCCCTTGTGCTTAATGATAGTAAACTATTATTCGAAAGATCAAGAACTTCAAGACTCAAGAGTTTCGAAAGCATACCCGACTCGATGACGCCACTCAAGTTGTTTGATGACAAATAAAGTTTACTAAGGTTGACAAGATCAAAAATAGAATGCGGTAGTGGACCATGAAAGTCATTAGAACTTAAATTGATACGTTGGAGAGAACTAGGCATCTGAATTCGATCTATGGGACCGGCTAGTTTGTTATGATTGAGGTCTAAATCTAGCAGAGATGGGAGATTAAACAGCCAATCACTGTCATGATTTGGAAAGGGAGCTTCCAAGTGATTATGTGACAAATCCAGAGTGGTAATTTTTGGGAGGTTGAACATGGCTAATGGAAGTGGACCACTCAAATTACAGCGAGAAATTCTCAAGGAAGTTAATCTGGTAAGGTTCCCAAAAACATCTGGAATCCATCCTCGAAGCCGATTTCCAGATAAATCTACGGAAACGATTTGAGTGAGATTTCCAAACGATGGTGGAATTGATCCTTTGAAACCACCACAATAGGGAAGGTACAACGACACAAGGGCACTACTCCAGTTTGTCTTAGGAAGATGAACTGTGAGATTTTCAGTCCAACTTTAATCTATATGTTTGAGGTTCGGAAGCTGAAAAACTTGACTTGGAAATTCCCCATTTAATCGACAACCAGAGAGACTCAACTGTTTTAGTGATGAAGTCAGTTTTAGAAAGGAAGTGGCTGCAACATCAGACATATCTACACCCTCAAGCACAAGGTATCTTAATTTGGTTAAGTTTGTTGCAAGCATGTCAAAAGCTTGACCATCAATTTCAAATGATCTGAAATCAGCAGATGAATAGGAAATATCGAGTGAAACTAAACTCGACAAGAGACTGATTTGATTCGGGATTTTGCCAAAGAATTCATTACCATAGAGATTAAGATGGGTTAAACTCACCAACTGACTAAACAGCTCTGATGATACGGTGCCATACAAATCATTGGAGGCAAGGTTGAGTCGCCGGAGTCCATGAAAGTGAAGCAGGCTGCTGGTATTCTCAAGAAGAGAACCATAGAGGTAGTTGGAGCTCAGGTCAAGATATTGAAGGCTTTGAAGGCGAAAGAGGCTGTTGTTTGCAAAGTGATAACCGGTAAGGCAATTGACTAAGATCGATTCCAATTACATGCCCAGTCAGTTCGTCACATTTGACTCCGTCCCATGAACAACAATCGATGTTTTTGTTCCATGACTCTGTCTTGGGGTAATCATCACCACAGTAATCATCATGAGAAATGGAGTTTTTAAATTGGAGCAGAACAGCCCTCTGGTCTGGGAGACAAAGATGAGAGGATGGAGGAACAATGGAAGAGAAAATGCATGAAAGATGCAACGCTAACACAATACCAGGCAAATAATTCCCATTTTTTCCCCTCAAGAAACAAACAAATGTAAGAATCAAAGGAACGTTAAGGTGAGAGTGTAGATTTAAATTTCCTATATGCTTATAACCCGCTTCAAGTCAACCAATTCATGGAACAAAAAAAAAAGTCAACCAGTTAATACAGCTAAGTCTATATGTAGGTTGAGTTGGACTTATTTTTCAAAATGAATAAAGTCAACACTTTTGTAACATTTTATTTTAGAGTAACAAATAAATTGATTAAAAAAAATTTAAATTTATTAGTATTATGCTACATAAAAAAATAGCATTAACATTTGTCTTTCCTAATTGAATTGACTTATTGAGAAAATAAAATATAGAACCGCATCACCATATCATTCAAGCGACGAACAAGAAAGCAAGTAAAACACATTTGAATCATGTTAGTATGTTACAAAATTTACACCACAAAAAATATTCATACTTTCTTCTTCTTGGCGTTGCTTTTCTTTTTCGACTTCCTAGAGCCACCTCCACTCTCCTATTACCAACAAAACCGGATTTAAGTAGGATACCAATGTTTGTTAAATAAAACAAATTATCTAGTTGGACCAAGAATCGGCTCTTTAACAAGTCCGATATACTATATGAAACCGCTCATTAACTTAATCAGCAAAAAACCGATTTAAGACTACAATTATGTCAAATATATATAGCTTTGTTAATTATTCACTTAAGAGTCATATTTCTTTAACATTAAAATCAATATTCAAAAGCTTAATAGGCCTTAGCCTATTTGATGGTAGAGTTCAGCTAAGGGCAGGCTAGGGGCTTAAACTTGAGAAAAGTAAAACTGTTTCAATATGTTACCTTCTGATAATGCCTATAGGCCATTTGACCCGACAATTCCTGACCAGTCCGGGTAACATAAACCTGCAGCATAAGAGAAGATTATAATATGATTTACGTTTATCAAAACCAAAATATTGCAGCAAATTCATTCGTAATTTTTACCACAACAGAAAAGAAAAATTGTAGCAAATTTCCTAAACAGAGTTGAAAATGACTAGTATCATAAGTGCATGAGCTGCACATTTATAGTTATGCATTGATGTATTACAAGAAGTGTGCTAAAAGATGAAGTGGTAAGCATTTCAGCATACCTTCCTCCCCTCAGGAGATGTATACCAGTGGCCAGCAGATTGACTGCCATTAGCATGAACTCTTCTCTTCCCAGCATTCTTCGGAATAGCTCCGCTGCTTTTTGGATTTACCCATCCTTCAAATGCACCATTTTCAGCATTTGGTTTCTTTGATTTGTTTCTTCTACTTGTTGAGCTATTATTACCACTTGCTTTTTGGGCTCCTCTCTGTTTTGACGATTCTCCTTTGTTGAATTGACTCCTGCAGTAATGTTATATAACTCAAAGTAAACAAAGAGAAGTTCAATGTAGAAAAACTGATGCATATAAAAGCTACTCACGTGAAATCCATAATTAAGACATTAGGTTGTTGATGTTGTTCATTGTTGACCATGCTCAAGGGGGTAAAAAAGGGTAGGCGACTACGGACTAATTTCTGGATCATTGGATCGGCATGGAAAAAGTAGCAATGTGCCGGAGGTAAGGAGGCATCTAAATCCTGGAGTTGCTCCACCTTTTGGCTTTCGTGTTTCTGAGAAGCACTCTTACCGTTCCCAAGTATCTGAGAAGCACTCTTATCATGCAAAGAATGAAAATATTCTTTACATACCTCATCAAATGCAGGTGTTTGAATACGAGAACTACCCATTAGAGAGAAATCTTTCCAGAAATCTTCATTCTGAGGTGTACTAAAGGATGTCTTTCTCTTTTCATCACTGGCTACAGATTGTTGTTCCTTAGACAGTGGATCAATTTTATGAGCTCCTTTGCCCCTATCCTCGTGGTCTGAGGGGTCATCATAATCAGAGTCAAGTAAATGGAATCTTCGAAGAGGACTGATGGTTAACTTCGGAAATGTCAACCCATCACGTCTGGCCTTTAAATTTGCAGAAGCTGGGGCAACCGGTTCTTCCTTTTTCCTTGTACTATATTGGCTGGATGCTTGAGTAGTTAAAAGCCTGAATCTCTTCAATGGGACCTTGGAACTGCTACATACAGAATGATACTTTGTTGAAGAAACAATGTCTGCTAACAAAGATAAACTTTACAAACTCGTCAGCAATCCGTTTACAGAAGCAGGGAACACACGCACAAATTACTGATTTTAAACAAAGATCAGAACCCGAAATAAACAATGAAAATACATGCTTCAAAACTATGATATTTGAGCTCTTTGTTTTTCTTGAAGTACCATTTCTGCTGCACATTAATACATGAGTATAGGAGCACAATTTTCCAAATATATCAAAAAACTTTAAAGGCTTGAGTACTCCCATATTGGACATGTATCCATATACAACAATCAACTAAAGCCAAGTACACAGCTTTAAAATTAATTGACTACAATCGTATCTACAGGTCTACAGTTCTACAAATGACAATCATTCCACCATAATCAATCTCAGAATATTAGAAGAATCACTATACTCAAAAACAATTACAATTAAAAAATATATTTTAACTTTCCTTTTACCTCAATCCTTAATTTTACAGTACATCTCTTTTACCCCCAAGAACTAAAATTTCCACTTTCCCTTCCAAAATTAAGCCCTACTGGACCTCAAATTTCCCACTAACTAAGGAATACGTAATAAATTTGAAACAAAAAGGAAACCCAGAAAATTTATATTCAAACTAAGAAAAGGAGAACCCACTTTAAATTAATCAATATACCATCCAAAATCAGCTAAATATATATTTTTTAAATACCATTTGTTTCCTGAGAAGAAGAGAACTCTTCAATCTCATCGTCCACATTATTCCGAGGCATTGTCTTTTCTGATTCTTTCTTCGTCGCCGAATATGCATCAGCGGCCCGGCGCAACCGCTTTAAGACGCGGGGAGGATCGGGCCGAGTATCAGGATCCGAATCCATAACTTGTCGAGACTCGAGCTCTTCAGCATTTTCTTCGAGGGAGTTGAAGCTCGGAGAAGAATTAAGGGCTAAGATGGGTCCGGGATGGTCGTCGGCCGGTAAACTGGGCTCCGAATCGGCGTCGAGATCGAGCCCAAGAGAGAATGATGGTGCGTCGAAGTTCTCCATAGAAAGAGCGAATTTTTTTTTGAGGGTTTTGGAGGGAGTTCTTAATTTTATATATATGTGAGACAATTAGGAGGGAAAACTATTAAAAGTTGTAATTGAATTTTGAGACATTTTTGTATAATTATATATATATATATATATATATATATATGAAATAAAAAATATTGAGAATTTTTTTAAAATATTTTATTTATTATTTTGGATTATCATATAATATATTACTGGGAGACAAAATAATTTTATAAATAGATTTTAGGTAATATCATATATTTTATTATTTTTTAAAAATATTTAAAAATATATATTTTTTACCCAAGTTAATATTAAAATTAATTTTAAAATATCATGTTACTCTTATCATTAAATTTTTAATAATGAGTGATTATAATAGAATCAAAATATAACTTTAATACCAAAGAGATTGGTTCAAGTACAATTTAATATCGTTTAAGCAGGGTTCGAGTTTGAGTTTCCGTCGGTCTTGCACTGGATTTCTCTCTTGAAAGTACTTTCTTTCTTGTTATTTGGATTTTTTGAGTGACAGAGAATCTGGGTTTGAGTGTTCTATTGCCATGGACTTCCTCTTTTGAAGGTATTATTTTTCCTTCTTTGGATTTTGATTTTCCCGAGTGATATGTAATCTGGGGTTCAATGTTTTGTTTTGCTTATGATTTAATAGTTTGTTGAAGGTCTTAAAGGTTAATCTTTTGCGTGCTAGATTTTATTGGGTTGGTCTGCATACCAGTAAAGAGTTTCACTTCAAACATAGTTTTCAGCTGAACAAATTGTTTTTGGTGGATATCTGGGATCATCTTGTCTGTTGACCTTATTCTGTCATTCTGATTTATCATTTTCGAACAAATTCATCGTGTTGAACTGGTGGATGAATCCAACTGTTGCTTCCTTTCATCATGGATGATGCAAGCAGTGACTTTCCCGTGCATATATGTATGCCATTGAATTGGGCTTGGTGTGTCCGACACTGTTATCTTCGGAAATTTCCCATGTATTTGGATGATCCTTGGAGAGTTATTGTCCCCATACCCTTGTCCGCCTACATATGAATGGCCAGAGGTTTTAAAAGTCAAATGGCATTGTGTTCAATCCCTTACTGGAACTGGCAATGAGTGTTCTTATGTCCAATTTTGTTGAATTGTGAAGTAAACAATCCTTGGAGTGCGGTGTGGTTCGGAACATCCTTAGTTAATGCAAGTCAATTATGACTTATGAGTTTTCCCGTTCTACTTTGATTAATGAAGTTCATTAGACGTTCTTGGATGGCTTTCGTAATTGGTTGGGCAAATTTTGGAGTTTTATTCTCTTTCTTTCTAATTGTTTTTAATTTGGTAATCTTTTTGGTTTCGTCATTGTTGAATGTCAAGTGCATGGGATGAACGGTGACTGTTATTTCCTAGTCGAACTCGGATAAAGATAGGCCTCAAGGATATTGTTGATTTTTTTTTTTTTGGTTTTATGAGGGGTTTTAATCGTTTCCTCTCGTATTAATGTCGTTTACCTTTTCATTTGCATAAATAAATAGAAAGATTTCTTGTTTAACGTTCCCGACATTTTGCCAAGTTGATATTAGTGTTAGGATCTCTTATTCCGCTCGAACTTTCTCATGCTTCTACTTGTTAACCTGCAATTTTATGTTCCTTTGGCTTTAGGGAGTTGCGCTCGATCCAACCAAATGTAGTAGATTGAGCATGGATGAAAAGAGAGAACTCGTTTATGAATTGTCAAAGAGAACAAGTAGAGCTTCTGAAATGCTACAATCATGGAGCCGTCAGGATATTTTACAGGTCCTATGTGCCGAGATGGGGAAGGAAAGGAAATATACGGGTTTGACCAAGCTGAAAATTATTGAAAACCTTTTGAAAATTGTAGCTGAAAAGAATTCAGGTGTAACAGATCCTGAATTGCCTTCGTACCCAACAGGTGTTCAGAGAACAGCCAAAAGGAAGTGGAAAGCTGATTATCCTTCCCGACTGCCCATTCCTGTGAATGATCCCGGAATCGGTAATGGTGGCAATGATACGATCAATGCTTTTTATTGCAAAAAGTATGCTTGCAAAGCTACCTTGAGACAATACGATATATTTTGCAAGAGGTGTTCCTGCTGCATATGTTATGAGTTTGATGACAACAAGGATCCTAGTCTATGGTTAATTTGCAGATCGGAGCCTCCTTTCCTAGGAAATTCTTGTGCCATGTCGTGTCATCTCGAGTGTGCTTTAAAACAAGAAAAGTCCAGCATTAGAAAAGATAAACGACATGTTTTTCTTGATGGGAGCTTTTGTTGTGTGCCATGTGGGAAAGTAAATGATTTGCTCGGGTAAATACTACTGCATGTTCACTCTTTCTCACCCATTAAAATGAACTACATATATAGGAGTTATTCACTACTAGTGAATGTTACTTGTGTGTTTACTATTAATGCCGATATACAGTCCGATTAATGAGTTCGTTTATTCATTTAGATGCTGGAGAAAACAAATGATGGCCGCAAAAGATACGAGGAGGGTGGACATTCTTTGTTATCGTGTCGCTTTAGGCCAAAATCTTCTTAATAGGACTGAAAAATAGCATAAACTTTATGAGATTGTTGATGAAGCTGTTCAGAAGCTTGAAGCTGAGGTTCGTCTGTTGACTGGTGTGCCCATGAAGACAAGTAGGGGTATCAACAGGCTCTCTTTGGGCCCCGAAGTTCAGAAACTCTGTTCTTCTGCAGTGGAACCACTGGACAACATGCTTTTCGATGCTATTTCACATTCTTCACCAAATCATTCAATACCAGGTAATCTCTAGCTTACAACACACATGGTTGAATGGTTTTCCGTAATCTCAGATGAAGTGCTAATCATGTGCCTTTCTTTAATTTCCAACCATCAAAATAATTTTTCTAAGGGATTTCGTTTTATTGATTTATGTATCAACTCATCCTTTTTCAGCAAGTTTATGTTCAATTTCTCCAGCAACAGTACGATTCGAAGATGTTTGTCCAACTTCTGTTACTGTGATTGTGGGTTTTGAAGAACCTTTACAGGGTAGTATTATCGGTTACACCTTATGGCATATTATCGGTTACACCTTATGGCATCGCAAGGCTTGTGATCGGGATTACCCTATTAAATCAACTTGTACCATGTTGGTGCCGAACACAAGGTTTGTTGTCATGGGACTGACTCCAGCTACAGAATATCTTTTCAAAGTCGTACGAGAGAGTTTGGTCCATGGGAAGTTCCGATTTCAACAGCCTGCAGTGGGAATGAAGTCCTCATCTTCGGTTGAGGATGAAACTAATAACATTACTCCATACGGTGATCAAAATGATGACCGGGCAGAGAATTACGGCATATATTCCAAGGATACGGATAACATTGTTGATGTAAACAGTAAATTTTTAGACCCATTACATTCTTCATGTAGACTGTCAATGATATTTTACACTTCACCATTAGCTGCTCGTGTTTCATATAATGCAGCAAATGCGACAGGAGGAATTCATGGGAAACCACTCATGTGTGTGTCTGTTCTCCCTTTCATTCTAGTTCATGGTCCCAGTCATCGCAGTTCAAATAACATACGATAAGATTATAGTCTCAATTGCACGTATACACGAATGAGAAACTTAGGCAGCAAGACATTAGACAATGCTTTCAATAAAATAACAACACATGACAGAGTGTGTCCTGCAAAGCATATAACAATCTCTATGCTAGAGATTGACTAGGTAAAGGATATTACACAATTCCAACCCTAATACACAAAAACAAGCTCAGTTAGCTACTAGCAAAGGAAGAGAAGGGAATACAATCTGATCCGATCCCGAAACTTCAACAAAGTTCCTTTCAGAAACCCAGATGTCTTTCTGAAGCAACAACCATCCTTGGTGCAATTTCTGCAGAAACAGAAAAAACCATGGCAATCAGAACTTCGAACATCCACACTACATGTATAAACAAATTTGAGAAATGATGAAAATAGAAAAGGAAAAGGACAGGGATGTCGAAATTTTTTCGTTACCAGAACAAATATGCTACACACTCTGTATTTTGCTCGATTTATCTTTCACCTTACCTTCCTTTTCCTGAAATAAAAATGATGTAAAAAGTTGAACAACATCAATATCCTATGCATTGCGTAGCTGCGACGGATATGACAAGAAGTGAACTCAAAATGGAGAAAACTATAACATGAACAGCATTTCACTTCAATACTTCGATGTTACTTCCATGGTGCATCTCCAAAGTATAACAAAAAGCCATGCACTTCAATAGGCTTAATCACACCTTTAGACATTAAGCTGATCGTATAAATCATATACTTATTCGAGTTCGGGTAGTAGTACTTCGAAACTATGCCACTTTGGTTCAAGTAGTAGTGTGTCATATACGGATATGAGTCCGAACTGTCAAATGTTATGTGTATGACAATTGACATTATTATAATGCAAGACATATCATTGTTTATAACAAAAGGAGCAATTGCTTAAAAGCTACTTCAGCAGTACTTTGATTTCACCAAACGCAGACCAAACTAAAAAGAGCTTAAAAGTTATGATCTGGAAACTTAAATTTTCCCGAGAAAAAGCATAGTCGAAAAGAGTTCAAACCTAAAATTTTCCCGAGAAAAAGAATCAACAAACGAAAATCTATAAACACTTACCAATCCCTTGCTCTCATAATAGTCATCCAATGCCCATTGATATTTTGATTGATTTAAACCAAACCAGCGCGCTAAATGATCATCCAAGCTTGAATGAGCTGCCAACAAAAGAACCCAGTAATTTCTTTTGTTTATTGTTTAACAAAATGAACCAAGTGTGAACATAATTGAGCTGTTTCTTAAGCTTCCATAGATAAACCCATCTCGATTCTTCTTTAAACTTCACAACAGGAGAGAAAAAGTGAATTATTTTTATGGTTTTAAACCCATATACTTCTTTCCAATAAATAAAGTAGATACCGTTTTGGAGTTTGAAGGCAGCGTCTTTGAAG